GTCCGCGGTTTATTGGGCCTTTTGAGGTACTTAGGAGGATTGGGGAGGTGGCATATGAGCTTGCCTTGCCACCCAGCTTGTCGGGCGTGCACCCGGTATTTCATGTATCTATGCTCCGGAAGTATGTTGGGGACCCGTCCCATGTATTGGACTTCAGCACGGTTCAGTTGGATGATGATTTGACTTATGATGTAGAGCCAGCAACCATTTTGGATCGCCAGGTTCGGAGGTTGAGGTCAAAGGATGTTGCTTCGGTGAAAGTGCAATGGATAGGTCGACCCGTGGAGGAGGCTACTTGGGAGACTGAGCTGGAGATGCGGAGCAGATATCCTCACCTGTTTGAGGTTTCAGGCATGTTTCTTGACCCGCTCGAGGACGAGCGTTTGTTTTAGTTGGGGAGGATGTGACAACCGACCCGTCGTCACGTGAGTTACCGCTTCGTTTTCCCCATTTTCAGCTTCTTTATGCTTCATTATAAGAGTCTTGTGTGAACGAGTTGATTTGGATTGGTTTTAGAGGGAAATGAGACACTTAGTCTCTTTAAGGAAGGTTTGGTTTGGAAAATTCAACCGGATGTTGACTTATGAATTAGAGGGCTCGGATGTGATTTCCGGTGATTTGGTTAGCTTCGAGGGATGATTTGTGACGTAGGAGCGTGATTGGATGTAATTTTGGAGGTCCGGTGTAGAATTAGGCTTGAATTGGCAAAGTTAGTATTTTGGCGAATTCCGGTTGATAGGTGAGATTTTGATCCGAGGGTCGGAATGGGATTCCGAGAGTTGTTGTAGCTTCGTTGGGCGATTTGGGATGTGTGTGCAAAATTTTAGGTCATTCGGAGGTGTTTTGGTCGGGTTTTTGATCGAATGCGTATTTCGGAAGTTTTAGAAGAACTTAGGCTTGAATCCGATGTAATTTGATGGTTTCGGTGTTGTTTGTAGTGCTTTGATGATCGGAGCAAGTTTGAATGATGTTTTAGGATGGGTTGGCACTTTTGGTTGAGGTCCCGGGGGCCTCGGGGTGATTTCGGATGGTCATCGGGATGGATTTTGGACTTGTGAGATTGCTGGTGTTTGCTGATATCTGGTATTTCCGCATCTGCGGAAAAGGGGCCGCAGATGCGGTTCCGCAGATGCGAAGAATGGGTCGCAGGTGCGAGTGTTGGCTATTTAGAGAAAATCCGCAGAAGCGGATGGTTTCCGCAGGTGCGGTCTCCGCAGATGCGGTTATTGACCGCAGAAGCGGTCCGTGTTCGTGTAGGGTGTTCCGCAGAAGCGGGTAGGAGTGCGCGGATGCGGTGACCGCAGAAGCGAGATTAGACCGCAAAGCGGTCCTGGGCGTAATACAGATTTCTGCAGAAGCGGAGCAGATACCGCAGAAGCGGTGACCGCATATGCGGTAATTGGATCGCAGAAGCGAAAATAAGGTCTGGGCAGAAGGGTTTAAAAATTAATATTTCATCCGCGAGCTAAGGTATTTTTCCACCATTTTTGAGCAACCTTGAGAGCTTTTGGAGGAGAATTGAAGGGGATTTCGACTGGGATTGATTGGAGGTGAGTTCTATGGCCTAAATACATGATTTAATGGAAGAACTAACCTAGAAATTTATGGAAATTCATCAAAAAGGGAGAAAAGTTAGGGCTTGGTTTTTGGTATTTTAAAGTTGGTTTTGATGGGTCATTTGAACTCGGATTTGGGAGTTCTTGGTATGTATAGACTCGTGGCGAGATAAGGAATCCGATGATGTTAAATTTTTTGATTTTCGAGAAGTGGGCTCGGGGCTCGGGTTTTGCAAATTTCGTGATTTTCGACGTTTTTCGATTCTTTTCGATTGGATTACGTTCCCTTAGCCTATTGTAACGTATTCGTTGTGGTTTTGATCAGATTCGACGCGCGAGGAGGTCGATTCGCGAGGCAAGGGCATAGCGAGCTAGGATTTTGGCCGGCTTGAGGTGAGTAATGATAGTAAATGATATCCTGAGGGTTTGAAACCCCGGTTTTGCACAACGTAGTGCTGTATTGAGGTGAAACACGCGCTTAATGGCGAGCGCGGGGTTGTTTACTACTTTGTGACTTGGTCCGTCCTGATTAATATTTTACCGCGTATTTGACTGAAATGTATTTGTTACCAACATGATTTGGGCCTATTGCCACATTTTGGGCTTCATGCCGACTACTTGAATCCTTCGTGGATTTTTATCACTGTTTCCTCACTATTTTGATATACGACTTGAACTAGTCCTGTTGATTATACTGTTTTACAAACTCAGCTGCTTTAATTGAACTTTGAGACTTAAATGATATTTCCACTGTTGTTTGGTCTGAGCACTACTATTTA